AGCAGCTACTGGTTTTAACCACGGTTCCCATCCTGTTATTCACTCTCACACAACCCTCCATGTAGACAAGCAAGAGGCATCATCAGAGCCCATAGACACAGTCCAGTCAGGCAAAAGCACTTGGGGCATGATGTAGAGCCACTGCAGATGTGGCCAGTGGGAAGTTTCAAGTATTAGAGGTCCACACACATTTGGACTGCGCAGATACTGGTTGGTTAGGTAGGACCTCTTTTAAACTGTTTAGCAGAGTCTATCTTCTTTCTCTCGCGGAAGTGGTGAACAATGACAAAGTTGTTGTTTTATAGATGACTCACAAACTCTGTGAAGCCTCGGTCCAGAGATTTTATTCCCAGACTGGGTACAGGCATTACGGTAGCAAAGATATTTGTTGTTTTATAGATGACTCACAAACTCTGTGAAGCCTCGGTCCAGAGATTTTATTCCCCGACTGGGTACAGGCATTACGGTAGCAAAGATATTTTCGACTGTTAAAATAAACAGCAATTAACGGTACACTTTCAAACAAAAGTCTTTCTTCTTTTTCTTTCTTTCTTTTTTTCTTTTTAATTACAATTTTTTATTTCAAACATACAAATAAATACATAGATAACAAATACATACTTTGGTGCCTTGTATATAAATCAAATAATGTCAGACTTAAAAACCTTACTTCTCAATGTATATAAAAAGAAAAGGAAAAAGGAAACAAAAAACAAAAACAGACCAAACAAAGACAGTGACGAAAACAAAAACAAATTCAATACGTATCTTTTGTTAGATACTATTTAATATGATTCAGTCCTATAATGGCTTTTCTTGTATATGATACCTTTCCTTATGGATTGAATCTCTTTACATACTTTAATTGTGGACTTCCATCTACCTTGTAACAGTTCGTTTTACTTTACTACACACACAGAGACACACACACCGTGTTTAATGTTTTCTCCTCATCTTGGTATGAGGAAGCGATGTATCTCTGTTTACAGAATTATTCCAAACACAACCAAATTTTAGATGTGGGGGCTTGTTTCATTAAATAATTACTGAAATCTTTCTTATCTGCCACATGTCATAAATTACAGAAAACAGTCCTTCAGCAGATTTTACAAGCAACACACTTCGGACAGACTTTTGCTATCAGGCATCTGCAAAATATGAAACTGGGTGATCTTCTTCTTATTGCCAATTCCAGCTGATGCTAATTAAGCTCAGAGTGCCACTCCCATATCTAAAGGAAAAATCTCTGGAACCTTCTAGAAACTATCTACTTGTTTCTGGCAGAATGATTCCCTAACATCAAGGGGCGTGTTGGGAGGACTGAGGGGCCACACTGATCCCCTGGGCATGAGGTTACCTACCCCTGATGTACCATTTGGTGCCTAGTTTATATATCTGAATTTCTATCACAGGCTGCTGGTGTACTGTGAATGGGAGAAGGGGGTAGCTAAAATTTCCTCTTCTTTCTCAGGCACCAAAATGTCTTCCACCAACCTTGGCCAGCAGGACTGGCTTGCCATATTTTGAAGCAAAGTGGTCTAAATGGCGGGTTGCGAGTGCAGGAGGGCCCATACACACATTATGAAGTGAAATACCACACATTATTAAGCTTTTTAAAGTCCTGCGCCTAAAATTGATCAGACCATTGAATGAAGTGGTCTCCAAAATGGGGCGGGTGGGAAGCAACAGCAGCAAATTTTGGCAACTGGTCTTGTTTCAGATGTTTCGAAATACTACTGAGAAATCTCAAGAAGATATATTACCTCACTAAACCAGATGCTTGTGTCAGTTGGCATCGTGTGAGGAATGGTTTCCTCCCCCCACAATTCCAAGAAAAGTGAAAATGGCCATTAAGTTAAAATGCCTTTCAGAGCAGAAGACAGATTTAATAGTTTTTTATGGGCCATTTGTACAGCAAAATGTCACCAGTCAGCACACCATGGCTCTCGGGGACACTGTCAGGACATTTTGCAAAAAAATGTTTGGGGAAAGGGCAGCGCTTTAACTTTTGTGCTGCGACGTCAAAGCTGCTAACGCCGATTCTGCTATGCAAAACAAAATTTAAAAGACCACAGACAATTAAATGGAAACTCATTATGCTTTGCTGAGCACAACGCAAAATTATTGCACGCTGCCAAATTATTGAACCCTGAATTAAATTATGAAATGTGCAAAGTGTTGCCAGGAGAATTTAGAAAATAAAATATATAGTTTCGCCAGGATGTAGCAGGCCAGCACATAATCAGAGTAGCCCCAGCTCTGCAATGAGAATCGCCAACATTTCAGGACCAGCGGGCACATTCGGAATTTTGAAAAAGTGTATGGTGCCAGTCACGAAATGGCTGCCACAGGGTGGGTAGGGGCATAATACAAAATGGCTCCTGTGGGGGCACGTAGCAGAGGCTGAGCAAGTACAAACAGGAACCAAGCTGGAAGAACAGGCAGTCAGTAGGGCTAGGCGATATCTGGTTTTCAGCATCACAATATATCACCAGTTAAATATCACGATATACTGATATATCATAATGTCTGAAATAAGGATGGAGCTATATAGAGGCATTGGCTGGCCTCGCGTTTTTCCCCACGTTGTGATTTTTGCTTAGCACACATACACACATATTATGATTCACAATATATTGCCAGGTCAAAAATTATGAAACCAATATCACAATACAGTGGTACCTCGGGTTAAGAACTTAATTTGTTCTAGACATCCGTTCTTAACCTGAAACTGTTCTTAACCTGAGGTACCACTTTAGCTAATGGGGCCTCCTGCTGCCGCTGCTGCACGATTTCTTTTCTCATCCTGAAGCAAAGTTCTTAACCCGAGGTACTATTTCTGGGTTAGCGGAGTCTGTAACCTGAAGCGTCTGTAACCCGAGGTACCAGTTTTGGACAATATATCAACCAGGCAAAGGGCCTTCTCAGTAGTGGCACCCACCCTGTGGAATGCCCTCCCATCAGATGTCAAGGAAATTAACAACTATCTGACTTTTAGAATAAATCTAAAGGCAGTCCTGTTTAGGGAAGCTTTTAATGTTTGATGCTTTATTGTGTTTTTAATATTCTGTTGGGAGCCACCCAGATGGGAGGGGGTATAAATCATCATCATCATCATCATCATCATCATCATTATCGCCCAGCCCTATCAGCCAGTCTCTCATGTGCTGGGAATTTTGAGGGGCTATTTTCTGAGACTTCCTCACAGGCACTGTGGAAGGTTTTGGCAAGAGCATTGGCGCCTGCGAATACCACATTGGCGTGCCCTGCATATTGTGACAGAGACACCGAACTGAAAGTAGACACGTGCAGATGTTGAAATGGGGGAAAGAAGAAACGTGCTCCCTTTCCTCCTCCTGCCCCTCACCAAGTTTCCCCCTTCCTTCCAACAGTCTTGTTGACTGAATATATATATATCTTGGAGGAATTTTCTTCCCATATAAGTGAATGGTCGCCACTCGTGGCTAAAAGGTAAAAAAGTAATCACTGTAATTGAGGGCAGTGCTGCCCCAGACTATGGTTTTCTGTCAATAAAAATCTTGGAAGTGAGCCAGGATGGAATGGCCTCTGGAGGGTAATCTCCGTGGCTTTCTCTGTGACACCACAGGAGTCTGCTTGGCCTTTGAGGTTTTCCCTTCCCCCCTCCAGATTTACAGTTTTATGATCCCATGAAACGGCAAACCCTGTGAGATCAGGCACTACGTTGGGGATTTTCTTCTCAGGCTAAGTGCAGTATTCAAATCAGAGAGTTGTTAGGAAGGACAGTATTCCTTTTTTTCCCATTTTATGAAGGATCAGGGTTTTTAACTGAATGAAAATGTGCTGAGGGCGACAGTGTGTACAAGTAAGAATCGGTGTTCGAATATGACTGAAATGGCTTTTATGTACACTCCGCCTTCCTTTGTCCAATATTTTGGCACTCATGAGCTGATTGGCCATTATAAAATACATCTGAACACAATGCGGTGCACTGGCTAAGGTGTTGGGAGTAGGACCTGCCTCACAGGGTTGTTGTGAGGGTCAGATTGGTAGGGAGACAACCAAACATCATTTCTTGAAGGAAAGGTTGAATTTCAATGTACTAAATTTCAATGTAATAAATTTAAAAATATAGGGCAGATGCATTTAAATAGTAGCTTTCGACACCCCATGGAACTTGTGTGATAGCCTGGTCGTCTTCGGCCCTCCTGTGGAATGGAAAAACATTACAGATTGTTGGAGAGGTATATTAGACAGAAAGGTGTGCATAAAAATGATATACAAGAATGCATTATATTGAGAAAACTGCTTGCAAAAATATGAGCATTCGGCAGACTTGCATACAAAAAAAAATGTATATTCTGAGAAATGGTTGCTGAAATGCATAAGACCTATTATTATTATTATTATTATTATTATTATTATTATTATTATGTTTTTTAAAAAATGCAAACTGGTGTGGAAATGTGGTAAACCTGATCTTACGACTGGAAAAAGGAGAAGCAAAAAACTGACAGATTTGTCTGTTTCTGGGTAGAATCGGTGGGTTTCCAAGCATGAAGTAAGGTAGAAGTACTCACATTTCAAATTTAATGCAGGGATGGATATAGTTGCTCCAGTCATTTTGGATTCGCTGGAAGCACTCGGGAGCCCTAATTTGGTAAGATAAAGAGAGTTGTTACCTGAAGGTTTTAGCAGTATGGTAGGGCTTATTAGCAGGAATATATATGTTTTCAAGGAGGCTTCAAAACTGTCTCGGGGGGAGTTTATGCAATTGCAGGGGAGCAAGCCTCAGATTTAAAACAAGTGGCAAATTGTGATAAGCTATTAAAGTTAATTGTGAGTGGAAATGAAACTGTAAAATATTACAAGGCACAAGAGATTGTAGTGGCACTGGAAGATTTGAGAAAACTAATGAGAGAAGGATTCAGACACATTATTGCGAGCATCAGCTAATGAGGTGATAGAAATAATGCAGAAGGCCTCTGCTTGGCAGGGGGTTGGACTCGATGGCCCTTGTGGTCTCTTCCAACTCTATGATTCTATGATTCTATGATTCAGTGGCCAAATTGTGTTGACTGTACACATGTGCAGGGATTGGGGTCAACCATGGAATCAAAGAATTGTAGAGTTGGAAGGGACCCCAAGGGTCATCAAGTCCAACCCACTACAGCATCCATGGCAGATGACCATCCAACCTCTACTTACAGAACCTCCAAGGAAGGAGAGTCCAAGCGAGACCATTCCACTGTTGAACAGCTCTTGCTGTCAGAAAGTTTCTCCTGATGTTCAGTTGGAATCTCCTTTCTTGTTACTTGAAGCCATCGGTCTGAGTCCTACCCTCCAGAGCAGGAGAAAAGCTTGTTCCCTCTTCCACATGGCAGCCCTTGAGGTATTTGCAGATGACCATCATATCACCTCTCAGTCTCCTCTTTTCCAGGCTAACACACCCAGCTCCTTCAACCTCATGAGGCTTGGTTTCCAGACCCTTGATCATCTTGGTTGCCCTCCTCTGCACATGTTCTAAACAAATGTTCCCAGTGTCCCAGCCCTGTCACTATCCCCTGGGGCAGGAGTGGAGAACTTCCACATGTTGAACTCCACTTCTCATCAGACCCAGCCAGCAGGGCCAATAGTTTGGGATTATGGGAGATGCAGCCCCAGCAATTTATGGAGAGCCACAGGTTCCTCACCCCTGCTATAAAGACTGACACAATCGTGCCAGCCAGTTGCATCTGTTTCTACTGTGGATGTGCTTTGAGACATGCCAAGGTCTGAAGAGTGAAACAAGTGCAAGATGAGAGCCCATCAATCAGAGTTAGGGAACCTGTGGCCCTCCAAATGTGATGGATCTCCAACTCCTATCATCCCATTTGCCATATTAGCTGGTGGTGACAAAATGTGGAGTCTAGCAACATCCAGACAGCCACAGGTTCCCCATCTCTACTCTATTCTGTGCATTCAAATGTAAACGGGCTAAAGCTGGAGCCCTTTCATGGGAGGTCCATTGAACTCCATGGAAGTATCCAACTTGATATACCCATCAATGCAAAGATTCCTGGTTTGCACAATCTGCTCCAGGAGATTGGGGAGACCCCTAGAACAAATTTAAGAAGAAGAGAAGAAGAGTTTGGATTTTATATCCCGCCTTTCACTCCCCTTAAGGAGTCTCAAAGCGGATAACATTCTCCTTTCCCTTCCTCCGCCACAACAAACACTCTGTGAGGTGAGTGGGGCTGAGAGACTTCAAAGAAGTGTGACTAGCCCAAGGTCACCCAGCAGCTGCATGTGGAGGAGCGGAGACGCGAACCCGGTTCACCAGGTTATGAGTCCACTGCTCTTAACCACTACACCACACTGGCTCTCACTGTGGGATTCACTTAAGGGGTTCATGGGGGAATGAGCAGTGTTAGAAACTCAGATATATATGTTAGGCATCAAATGGCTCCTTAGACCAGTCACCAAAACGGAATGTTTAGTTGCCATTTTGGGGTCAGACAGCTTGAAAGTCATATTTTCCAATATAGTAGTACCTTGGTTGTTGGACGGCTTGGCTCCCAAACAAATCGACTCCCGATCGCCGCAAACACAGAACTGAGTGTTCCGGTTTGCAAACGTTTTTTGAAAACCGAACTTTCGACGCAGCTTCTGCAGCTTCCGATTGAGTGCAGGAAGCTCCTGCAGCCAATCGGAAGCCGTGCCTTGGTTTTTGAAAGGTTCCAGGGGTCAAACAGACTCCCGGAACGGATTAAGTTCGACAGCCAAGGTACCAATGTACAACTTTTTGGTTCCTGAAATTCATTCTGATTGTGCAGATAAAATAGTACCTCAGGTTAAGTACTTAATTTGTTCCGGAGGTCCGTTCTTAACCTGAAACTGTTCTTAACCTGAAGCACCACTTTAGCTAATGGGGCCTCCTGCTGTTGCTGTGCCGCCGGAGCACGATTTCTGTTCTCATACTGAAGCAAAGTTCTTAACCCGAGGTAATATTTCTGGGTTAGCGGAGTCTGTAACCTGAAGCATATGTAACCTGAAGCGTATGTAATCCGAGGTACCACTGTAATGGATAGAATTCTACAGCACATGTTGCTAGTGTGTGAAAATAGTCAAGAGCGGGGGTCTTCACTTGGTTGCAAGCGGCCGACAGCCAGGTGCAAAAGGTACCAGGTGAATTTTGATCACTGGGGGGAAGCCCTGTTCTCAACTGTAAATCCTAACACTGATGGGATGCATTACTTAGTGCTATTTTGCATACAACCCACTGGGAGCAACTTCCTATATAGGATTGCATGGTTGTTAATCATTCCCTTTATTCAAAGATGGGATGGGGAGAGAGGCATCTAAAATAAAATTACAACCAACTGAGCATATTTGTTCTCAAGCAGCCTTAACATCATAACAAGGAGAAGAAGAAATAATAAACCCCATGCTGGTGTGGTTTTAACCTAAAGCAACTGAAAGGCATCCCCAGCTCTGATTTTCATTTTAATGCAATTCAGCTGTGACATATTCATGTAGATTTTATGAGGGTGCGGGAAAATATTTTGCTGCTCCTGCTGCTTGTTTAACATTGCAGGCCATTTCTTTGTCAATGTTGGCTGTGGCTTGGATAGAACAGGAATGCCCCCTGCTGACAAACCTTGTGCGTTCTACATTGCAGAAGAACTATCATAAATAAGGCAGAATTACTCTAATAATAGCTTGCTCCAAAAACAAGAAATGACTTATCTTCGTTCCTCTGGAGGGCTTTACAAAAGCACTCACCATTGTGGCATTCTCATCAGATCAATTCTTTTCTACAGGCAGAACTTTACAGACCCTCCAAGTGTCTTTGTTTTCCAGAGACAGTCCCGGATTTACAGAAACCGTCCCAGTTTCTGATCTGATCATGGAATGTCCCACTTTTCCTTAGGACGTCCCTATTTCCATCAGAGAAAAGTTGGAGAGTATGGCAGGATGTCCCTAATTTAATCTGAGGGTATGGAGTTATGCGACCCCCGAACCAAGGAGATAAGTACAGTGGTACCTCAGGTTAAGTACTTAATTCGTTTCGGAGGTCCGTTCTTAACCTGAAACTGTTCTTAACCTGAAGCACCACTTTAGCTAATGGGGCCTCCTGCTGCCGCTGTGCCGCCGGAGCATGATTTCTGTTCTCATCCTGAAGCAAAGTTCTTAACCCGAGGTACTATATCTGGGTTAGCGGAGTCTGTAACCTGAAGCGTATGTAACCTGAGGTACCACTGTAACTACATAACCTTTAGAAGACATCTGAAGGCAGCCCTGTATAGTCCCTGTATAGTGTTGTTGTTATGTTATGTTGTTATGTTGTGTGTGTGTGTGTGTGTGTGTGTGTGTAGCCATCCTGAGTGGTTGGGCAACACAGTCATATGGGTGGAATATTATTATTATTATTAAACAGGACACCCCTATTTTCATCAAGGAAATGTTGGAGGGTATGCTTTTAGCTGTGCAATGGAATATTCCTCACACTCTCTTCTGCCCCAAATATGTCCTGGGGGTTCCCCCAACCCAATTTTGGGGCATGCCAGGGGCACATAGGGGGAGAAGAGAGTGGGGAAGTTCCACTTCACAGAAACCTTGCACTAGCAGAACTGTTTAGCAGGATATGGCCCTAATTTACTTCTGAGTAGACACACAGTTGCCACCACCTTTCACCTTCCCAGTCGAGGGAATACTTTGGGTTGCTATGCAGAATAATAAAGCCAGCCGTGGGGAGAAGATTAAATGAAATCCTAGCCCTTCTTGGGGAAATTGGCGGGGGGGGGGAGTAAGCAAACAGAATGGCATGTTCAAATAGTATTGTTTGTCTGATGGTGGGGGCGGGATGCAACCAAGCCTTAATGCCCCCTGCTGCTTAAGCCTCATCAGATCTGCTTTAGGTTTAAGTAGAAACATGGATAACTGGAGCTCGAGGGTTAGCTTGATGCTCTGCACTTAAACTCTGCTTTCACGTTTGAAAAGCAGGGGAGGGAATATAAACTCCGCAATGTGGTGGTATCATAACAGCACTGAGGATACATTTTAGAGCAGCAGTGGGGAACTGGACTCAGCCAACAGGCCTGATTCTTCTCTCTCCCATCCCAGGGTTGGGGCTGCCCATCTGTCAATCACCTGAGGGAGGCGGGTGGTGCTGTAGTCTAAACCACTGAGACTCTTGGGCTTGCCGATCAGAAGGTTGGCGGTTCGAATCCCCGCGATGGGTTGAGCTCCTGTTGCTCTGTCCCAGCTCCTGCCAACCTAGCAGTTTGAAAGCACACCAGTGCAAGTAGATAAATAATTACTGCTGTGGCAGGAAAGTAGACAGTGCTTCCGTGCGCTCTGGTTTCCATCACAGCGGTTTAGTCATGCTGGCCACATGACCCGGAAATCAATCTGTGGACAAACGCCGGCTCCCTCAGCCTGAAAGCGAGACGAGCGCTGCAACCCTACAGTCGCCTTTGACTGGACTTAATCGCCCGGGGTCCTTTACCTTCCAATCATCTTACATCACAATGACATCAGGTGCTTTTTTTCCTTTTGACTGTGCAGGTGACACTATGAGCATGGAGCTACGCAAACACTGGCGATCAGCTGTGCTTAATTCATAGAATCATAGAGTTGGAAGAGACCACAAGGGCCATTGAGTCCAACCCCCTGCCAAGCAGGAAACACCATCAGAGCATTCCTGACATATGGTTGTCAAGCCTCTGCTTAAAGACCTCCAAAGAAGGAGACTCCACCACACTCCTTGGCAGCAAATTCCACTGTCGAACAGCTCTTACTGTCAGGAAGTTCTTCCTCATGTTTAGGTGGAATCTTCTTTCTTGTAGTTTGGATCCATTGCTCCGTGTCCGCTTCTCTGGAGCAGCAGAAAACAACTTTTCTCCCTCCTCTATGTGACATCCTTTTATATATTTGAACATGGCTATCATATCACCCTTAACCTCCTCTTCTCCAGGCTAAACATGCCCAGCTCCCTTAGCCGTTCCTCATAAGGCATCGTTTCCAGGCCTTTGACCATTTTGGTTGCCCTCCTCTGGACACGTTCCAGTTTGTCAGTGTCCTTCTTGAACTGTGGTGCCCAGAACTGGACACAGTACTCCAGGTGAGGTCTGACCAGAGCAGAATACAGTGGCACTATT